ATCATCGCACGGTTACAGAAGGTATGGCTCCAGGTAAGTAACTACACGTTTAGTAAGCTGATGTCTAGAAGCGTTCATTACAGCAGGCGTTGATGGCAAATTCACGTGCGCTTTTCACTATTCATTGTGTAATCCAGAAGCGCTAAAATTATTGTTCATGCAAATCAAGTTACTTTGGCGTACAGATTATAATATAAAACGATGCTTGAAGAACGATAATCAATATACTGAGCTTAAAAAATGAATAAAGGGCAGAGGCGACTTGTGATGAAATGGAGCTAGTGTCCTACAAATATTTACTAACTTCATCTTCATAGAAGCAAACCGGTCTACAACCTCCTCATTGAAGCTATTAGTCTTTGATATTAATAAATCTTCACTGAAATACATCATTTGGGAAATGAAAACCTCCCTAATTAGTTGGATTGATTAGAGCTCAAAAATCTATTTAAATTCGCGGCTTTACATCAGCAAATATTAAGAATGTACAAGAGAGAGGGGTGCGGGATTTTCGATGTTGGGCACAGAACTGGCTCATGTAGACCTATCGATGGGTCACTCGATGGCAACAAAACAAAGAATAATTCATCTCTGTTTAAAAAAAAAATAAATTTTGCTAATTTCTAACAAACATCCTTAATTTTGTCCTGTCTTTTCCATTTAATAANAGAACTGGCTCATGTAGACCTATCGATGGGTCACTCGATGGCAACAAAACAAAGAATAATTCATCTCTGTTTAAAAAAAAAATAAATTTTGCTAATTTCTAACAAACATCCTTAATTTTGTCCTGTCTTTTCCATTTAATAAATTAAAAAATACTGCTGGTGCTTATTTTTCGTTACATTTATCTAGTTCGAATTTCATCAAAGGCAAACCATAAAATATGTTATTCAATTCTGTGGTAAAGATTTCCAAAAAATTTAATTGGTAGATCGCAAAGGCCTGGACAATAATTAGTAGATCTCAAGATCTGATTATGTTGACCATCCCTGCTCTAAAGCATTCCGCAACACTATCAGAGATCCAGATAATTAATTTGGTCTATTATCTTACTTATCTTACAAGACGACCTGCAAAAGGCGATTTTGCACAAATACATCAGTATTCGGATACACTAAATTACAATATTAATTAATTTTAGTAATTATAGCAGNTTTAACTTATCTTGGAAAACTTGTAAACTGTCTTTGCATTATGTGACCTCTGTCCCGGCACCGACAGAATGTACGATATTATTTCAAAAAAACTGTCATTAATAGATACAATGTTTTGAGTAGAAGGAATTGTTGAATGAACCGAACTATTCTGTCTCTCCTTTTCCTTATTTACTACCATGGTCAAACGTTTTTAAGAAATTCTCATCCTCCGTGCCCATCAACAGACATATTTTTCTTAATCTTTACAATGCACAATTACATACAATTCTGTGAATAATTCTCCAACTTCATTGATAAATAATGCAGAAAGGGATGTTTTTACATCAATGTTAGTACGATATGATAATAGAGTAGTGTTCATCAAAAGTTGGAAGTCATGCATACGTTTAGCAATCGGAAAGTTCAAAAAGTTTTACCGGGCAACCGTTCCTGTCATATTCCACGCGTTTACCTCGGAGTTTATGGTAATTCCGATGTGAAAACTTATCTCCATAAATCGTACAGTTTGACAAGCAGAACGCTTCAACAAAGTTTAAATCTGACTCGGTACAAAACTTGTACCTTTACCATTGATGTCATTCATTTTTGCGGAGGTTTAAAGTGCCGGTGAGGCGCAACCGGCGAACAGATAAAAGAGCGAAATAAGATGCTTTCTGTACCTCGTTTCGATCTTATTGTCGGAGGAAATGGCACGTGATTTACTGTTTTCTGCTCCAATTTAAACTTTCCTTAACTCGTTCTAACTGTTGCTGCGGATAAGAAACCCCAGCGTCTAATGCAATTTTTGTTTCTTACGTTATATATACATGTACACCAAAAACACCAATTTCGAATTTAATTTAATCAAAACACATTACCGAGTTACGCAAGTACAGTCCATTTCAATTTGTTAGAATTGTGACCTTGAAGAAATCTGCGCGAAAATAGAAAGAATTCACACTAGGCGTGAGTAAGACAGAAATAGTTGGAACAAGCTTAAACGAGCAGAGCTCTCGATGGACGGTCTTAGGAGATCGGCTAGAACTGTACAGAACTGACGAAAATGTTTAGCAATTTCTTAAAACAGAAATGTATATCAATTAACAATAGAAAACAAAGCAAAAGTTTTATAGGTATGTAGAACGTTGAGTTAATTCACTTGTTATTATTTTTGGCTAAATATGCTTTTAAATAAAGCATATTCTTAAATTTTAACGAGGCAGTTTAAATAATTTTGCAAATGGTACTGTACACTTTTGTCTAGTTCTCGCTCGATGATCGGTGGAGAAATGAACTCCGCAGACAAATATGATTGAATTTGGAATTATGCTACGGCGCATCCTAATAAAGGGAAGGGGCATATCTCTAACTTCTTGAAACGAACAGTGTATCGTTATCGACTAAAATTTGTTACCAAATGAAATACCTTATCAAATGATTGATTTCTATGGCGTTCCGATAAAATCAAATAAGATCGAAATCGTGATCTACGTCTGGTAGTTTCGACAAAACACTACTACTGATGGTTACAATTTCGTTTAGAAGGTCAATTATAATGGGGCACAAGGTGCTCATTCATTTGCAGGACCGCACTTTCAGGAAAGTCTACCATGTATAATGTTATAATTTTTTTTTTATAATATGTATAAAGAAGAATTTACGTTTTGTTCCCAATGTTGTTTACATTAACACAAGAACAATTTTTCTTTCTGAAAAATCGTCGTGAATAATGCCTCTTCCCCCTTATGTAGTTCTAAATTATGAGCCACCATTGACTAATTCTAAATAATGCGTGTATATTATTACAGAAAAAAAACACTAAAAGTTAGAGATAAATTATCCTTTAAAATATAAAACCTTATTGGCATGAAACTAGACTATTATTATGAGCGAATTATCATACTCTTTTAATTATAACAACTATTAATTAGTAATGACTAAATACAAAAAATTAACAACATTATTTCGTTTGTAAATGAACCGATGTGCTAACAATTCTTTAAAGTATGAAACTGAAAAATGTAATGTAAAACTCTTTTGAAGTAAGATACTTATTGTTAGATGAAATTTCCCAGAAAAGTTTTAAATTAAAACCTATTCTTTTATATTACTTCTACGGAAAAATAGGTTATTCACAAGAAACATCTTACGGTAATTCATTCTTGACATATAATGGAATTGCAGTTATCCATCCTTATCTGGGACGTGACCTGATAACCTCACGACCCTACATCTTGACGGAATTCATTGAAATGTGTTTCAATCAGATACAGGTAACATAGAAAACTCAAATAAATTCTATATATCATCGTGGAAAGTTGAAATGAATGAGATTAATTGAAACAATATTCAAATTAAATATAATGCACCTATGCACCATACACGCACGGTATGTAGGAAAATTACTGGGTAATCGATAATGTTATTTTTCACCCACCTAAGAAAGCCACAAACTATGTGGTAATACTACAAAGAAACTTTGGATTAGTAAAAAGAAAACGCTTTGGAAGAAACTGGCTCCTTTTAAGAATATTGCTTTCCTAGTTAGGAGACATTCAAGTATTACCTACATAATACCTCCCAAATTATAAGACGTAAGAATTTATTCGAAACTTTCATTAAATGTTAAAATTAAAATTAAAAAAGGCTAAATTCCTTTTAACATTCGAGTAACTTGAAATTTATTACGGGTGTGAAAATGGCTACATTCACAGAAGATACACGAACACACCGAACTACGTCACGAGACCAATTAACATTAAATTCATTCTAAAAAAAACTATTAAAAACATTACAATCCCCAACAAGAGTGAATTAATTACAGCTGATACTCCACGAATTATAAAAAGAAAGATTTATACATAATAGTCCTCGTTGATTTTTATTTGGTAAAGCATTGCATAAGGATTAGTTAGTTAGACGGTGCGAAACCCTTCAACGTTAAATTATTATTTTTCAGTGGAAGTCTTTCTTGTCCCACAATAAACTTTAGCATCTAACCTGTGTGAGTCACCTTAACTAGGGTTCGACCAGTGAACGTATTAGTCAGAGGTTGGAAGGGTTAATTAGAAATGCTAAACCTCTCAATACTAAATTATTCTTTTTCATGGAATTTTTTTGTCCCAAAACTGCTTTTGTATCTACGATCAAAGGGTGATTAAAATTAAGAAATTTTCGGTTTAATTGATCAAGTACAACACTTACAATAACAGTTGTACGGCGTAAAACCTTGAAGGGTCTAAAAATCCTTGCAATGACTGAAGAACAACATAATCCAATCTTCTTTATTTTTAATTTCACTTTCCTGTATTGAAAATGTTTCATTGAATTATTGAAGTAATGACATTACAACTTTACTATATGATGCTGATTATGCATATGTAAACGTATTTACTTGACCGAAGACTTATAAATATAAATTGATTCATAAATGCAGTGTCATTAAATTTTACACGTACAGTGTGGGGTCTTCCGAAGCTGCTAGTGCGTGTAATCAAACTTTATCAAGTATCAGACCATGTATTTACCATGTATTTACCAATTGACCATGTTAGTAAAACGCCAACTCAAGACTTTATGGACACTAAATCTTTAAATTTGATTAATTGAAATTTTAAATGCCGCTAAAACAAAAGAGCTTGAAAATAATCTTGAGGACGAGCAACAACAATAATGTTCAGAAAAACAGTTGTATTAAGGAAAACCTTCATCAAAATTCATCAAGCAGAAGCTGAACTACCATATTCGAAAATATAGCAACTAATCTCGTATTTCCTGAAGAGTTTACAGAGAAATTGCCGAAATAAAGTTAACCCCAACACAGAGCAGAAGCTAAAGAAGTCAAAATTTTTATTCACTCACCGGTTTGCTTGTTCGAACTTGCTCCACTTGAAAATCCTGTTAACTTTTTCCAGGCTTTGCGACTAAAAAATCCTTTACTACCAGACGCACAATCGCCCGATTTCGAATCGATCGCGAGCTTTTTCTGTTGCGATGGGCCACGACGAAGACTACCCGCTGCACTTCTGTAACTAGCACCACTGGAACTACCACTAAAACCACTATCTAGATCGCCTCCCGACGGCACCGGCGATAACAATTCGTCCGTAGGACCGACACTAAACAGATCCGCGAGTTGATCGTCCGTTTCTTTGGTTGAATCGTCACTACCTTCTCGACTGCTAGGCATAAGCATTGCTTCTACCGAAAGATTCAACTCTTCCAAAACCCTTTTGTGACCCGATTGCACCCTACGAACTTCCTCTTCCACAAGACTTTGGTTTAACGACATTATTGACTGCTGATGCCTAGCTGCGTTCATTCTCGCCCGAGCTACCTGTGAAAACCAAAAATCCAGATTAGGCATTGACCTTACGTTCTGACATGCCCAAGATCAATTGCTCTTATTACTAGAAAAAACCGAAAGGATAATAAGGCCACTGTCAGAAGCGTTCGAAATGTGATGTTACAGGCGAATGATATCCACGGTATCGATAGAGAAAGTAATAGGAAAAATAGGAGAACAGAGGACTCTATGGAAGTCAATAAGAAATAGCGAGATAGATTAGTAGGACACCTTCTCAGGCATGAAGGTCCAGTCAGAGACATATTAGAAACAGAAGTTAGGAGGGGTAGAGGTAGACCTAGATTAGATTACTGTTCGCAGATAGTTAAGGATATGGGTTGTTCTAGTTTTAGGGAAATGAGAAGATTGACTCAGGATAGGAAAGAGTGGAACTGGGTGTCCAACCAGTCTTAGGACTGACGAGCTTATGATGATGATGACAACATATTTATAGCGCATTGTTTACCAAAGCTCAGCGGTCAGAGCCTATACAAGACATTGCCGGCTAGTAAGCAGAGTTTAGGTTATATTTTTGGCTTTATTTTCGGATATTCGTTTGTTGAACAGTGTTTAATTACGGTTTTCATCATGCAAACTCTTGAATATTCTTGTTAGCAGGAGCGGTGGGATGTGCGCCACACGGGGCGGCAGATATTGTCCATCCTGAGTGGAGGTGCGTTTAAACATGACCACTTTAGTGATTTTTGGAAAGGAATGAAACAATACTTTTAGGTTTCACTCTGGTCGACACTAACGTTGTTATAATCGGGAACTGATGTTCCAACTTCAATGAGTTTGGAAAGAATATTTAATTTCCGAAAATAAACCCTGTAGCAATGTCATTCATTGTTTACCTCTTTTGACCAAAAATGTTGACTTACCTCGCTAATTTCTTCGTAGATATTCTCTTCGGTTCCATACCGTGTTAAATACGTGTGCTTTGATCGGTAGGACCCTTCACGATAAGGACCGTCCCGCGGTTCCCTACCCCCCGGATATTTGTTAGGGATATTGGTATGTTTTTTGGGAGGACCCGGCTCGTAATAGGCGTAGGAGTAGTCCCATGTGGTAGGTTCGAGGACAGGATGATGATGATGATGAGATGTAGAAGGCCCCGGTAAATTAAGAAAGTGATCGTCTGGTATCCGGGGATCCATCGGTTGCGGGGGAGGATAATTAGGAGGGGGTGGAAAATGGAGGAGTGTTTGAGGAGGTTGAGGCGGATAACGGCGTGAACGTAACGAGATCGACTTGTGCTGGGGACACGGTTGCATTTGTTCCACAACGCATTTTTGACGTGATGATGATGGTACCTGCCACATTTACCTGAAACAAAAGTAACCAGTGAAAAAAAGCACTTCAATTATAAAACACAAATCAGAATTGCTTTATATTGTAGGTACAAATTTTATACTTTTATTAAGTGCAGAAGTTACTTGGACTTCGGACAACTGAAAATGTAAAGGTTAAGCACTTCATTTATAATACACAAATAACTAGACTAGACTGATATCAGAATTGCTTTATATTGTAGGACACCTTCCCAGGCATGAAGGTCTAGTCCGAGACATATTAGAGGCAGACACAGGAGTTAGGAGGGGTAGAGGTAGACTTAGGTTAGATTACTGTTCGCAAATAGTTAAGGATGTGGGCTGTTTTAGTTTTAGGGAAATGTGAAGATTAGCTCAGGATAGGAAAGAGTGGAGGTCCGTGTCCAACCAGTCTTAGGACTGACGACCTTATGATGATGATGATGATGATGAAGTGCAGAAGTTACTTGAACTTGGGATCAAAAATAGTGCATTTTACAACTGAAAATGTAAAGGTTCGTAACAAAGGACCATGAAGGGTTGTAATATTATCTTCGAAATAAAATAACAGCGGACGGCTTAAATGCAAAATGACAAATCAGTTTGTCGAAAGGGATCGATGAGATACATTCCACAAATTCGTCTCGAACAATATGATATTGAATATATATGTGTATTTGAATGCAATATAAAGCAGATCGCGAATGTATCGACACGTTCAATACGAAGTAAATTATATCGTATCGAAGCGTGTAAGTATTTTATACAATGGGCAGGGGCGATAAAATCAGCATTCAAGTGCGCTACATCCGTTCGGTTGGAGTGCCTTCTCATGCCGTACCTTCGGTTATTTTCTTTTTTATTTACCACGCAAAGTCCTGGGAATATCACGACCCGTTATTTTTGTAACCCCAATAAGAACAAAAAAAATCGAAAACCTATAGAAGGTGCTCAATTGTTTTTTCCATAAAAGAAAAATTTATTAAAGAAACAACCGGCAATGTTTTATTTTATACTAGCGACCCGCCCCAGCTTCGCACGGGTGCAATGCTGATACTAAATATATTTTTGTTTTGTTTAGATTATTATCTTCAAAAGATACCCCCTGAACATACTAAATATACTACAGAATGTCTTTATCTACAACATTCACAGTTTTTTTGTCATTAGACAATACAAACCGACCACCCGGCTGGTACCGCCGCAACCGCTATATCCCTGCATTTTAAATCTGTAATACCTTCGAAAATATTCATCTAAATTACATGCTGTAAAGGGCCATATTGATCTATATTAAATGCACAATGTTTTTAAAAGTACTTAATTGGATAAGGATTAATGCTGTATTACTTAAAATCGCTTCGTAAATAAGCAATTATTTCTCATAAAAAGTAAAGGATAAAAAATGGTTATTGTAGGTTATCCCTAAGAGATAGACATATACCATCGCGGACTTTTTTGTAGACCTTTTTAAGATGTACAATACTGTGGTACATTATTTTGATCGTAGGGTTCAGCCAGCGTTTGCAATGTAAGCGCAAAAAAAATGTGTTTATTTACGACATCACATTAGAATCCTCTAAAATTATCACTGTTTCTCTACTATATTATGCATGTATTATACGTATAAACCTTCCTCTTAAACCACTCTAACTATTAAAAAAAACCGCATCAAAATCCGTTACGTAGTTTTAAAGATCTAAGCATACATAGGGACAGACAGCGGGAAGCGACTTTGTTTTATACTGTGTAGTGATTATAAACAAAAAATAAAGCATTTCAACCCAAGCTTATTCTTTTCCAAAAAGTAGTCTCAATAATAATAAATTACTTACGTTTGCATAGTCTAAGGTCTAGATAGTAGACAGAGTAAGTACATTTAGAGATACTTCATAATAATAGAAATGGAAGAAAAGAAAGAAGTGTACCTCTTTGTTCTCATTAACATGAAAGAGAGTGTAAATCAAGATGGCTAGCAGCAGACATTCTGGTTGGTTGGATGTCTTTATTGTTTCGAAACAAGTGCGGCTAAAATTAGACGAGGCAAGTGGAGCCAGAAAATGCAGGAAGTCAATGTTGATTGTTTATGCTGCAATTTCCTCTAAATTTTTACTCGAACGCGCCGCGGCCTATAATTCAATAATGATCGAAACGAAAGCTCTATTAGTTTTTAAAAACAAAATTCTCCCTTCCGTTTTGTAAACACAACAACATTTCGCATTAATCGAGTAAAGCTTTTAACCTGATTAAAAACGAAGTTAAATTTACTTTCAATAAATCAGCCAAGTGTTAGACGCCTTTTGTCGTTTATGAGTGGTAATTATTATAAACGTGAAGTATGCACATTAATCGCAAAGTGGGGACAGGAATAAATTAAAATGCCGCGCACTGGGTCTTATAAATTCTAGATACTAAGGGGTAAATGTCCTGCATTGTCCTTTGGTCTGATACTGCGAACGCACCCACAAATTAATCTTGTGTAAGGTTACGATTAGATAATATAATGCATTATTATTTCTTAGCCGTCTTTGATCGTGCCTGTTACGCCTTTTATTTCATCTAAACAATTAAATTTCACTTCATTGAATTGACGAGATATAGCTACATCTGTTCGGCATTGTTTCGATACTTATTTCAATTGTTAATTAGAAGTGTAACTCTTTAACAATAAATATAAAATTTCTTAAATAAGTAGGTAAATATTTAACAATCTGTGTATAACTTACGTAACGCAAATGTGGGAGTAACCGAGGAAATAGGAGTCAATAAAATAAAGTGTAAAATAGGCAGGACAATTTTTTTATGATAAATATAAATGAAGTTCTCTCGCCTAGAAATGTGACATCAATGTTGATTAGATATTGTAACTTTTTATTTGAAAGTAATAATTATTTATCAGAAATTAAAAAATCATTTTCTGGTCGAAATGGTAATTTATTGATATCCTATCTATGGGTACATTTAACCCTTTTCTTACAGCTCAATTAATTCATATCAAAAAAACTCTGCAAAGTTTCGAGTTTGTGAGTCAACTTTTGCGAAATTCAAAGGTATTCGCAAATTATCGATGATGTTCAATATTCAATATCAACTAAAGATATCAAGATGACTTTACAAAGGTACCTACTCACACATAGGATTGTATTAGCTTAATCCACCTATCTACACAAAATTTGCCGAAATCGAAAGCTAGTTGCCAAATTTCCTATCCAACAAACGTGAAATTTACTCCACTAGGACAACCTGAAAAGAATAATTAAAGAAGCACCGTAGATTGAATATAATTAGGATTGAATTTGACGTCACACACAATTTTTGGATAAACAGTTAACGCAAAATTCAAGCCTGATTGAGCTGGGCTGTTTTTTGTTTGTTTTTTTAAGATTGTCCAGCAGGACATAGCGATAATAAATATATAATATCTAGTATGTAATTTGGTAACTGGCTTTCGGCTTCGGCAAACAAATTATAGTTCAGCAACAACGCTTCTGTGAATATTTTCACAAAGTTGTCTTATCGTCAGATATTGATGGTAGATCATTTAATTATAAGAAACAAAACACGGTTAAAATTCAGGTTCATGGATGAACTTCAAAAAAAAAAAACTGAAATCATATTGTAAAACGTAAAGAAAGATTTTTATGCTATTGTAACCGAATATAAGATCAATAAACTGTATTGCTTATGACGATTTGATTGTAAAACAATAAAAGGATTAATTAAAACGTAATTGCAGAAAAGATGGAAAAAAAACAGATGAATCTTACCCATTAATTTTAAAATACAGTAGAATCCCCTTATAATGACATCGAACTAAGCGGGCGTTATACAAAGCATAGAAATAAACAAATTTCTACTATTTTGGTTAGCTATTTAGTTTATTATAGAGAAAAACTACAAATTGTATATATTTATTAATAGAAAAAAAGAGAAGGATGAATTGTAATATCAAAATATACATAAGAAGGGTCAAAAAAGTAAGCGAAAATGTTATTAATCATTTGGGTCACTGTAGCCGGATATGATTTCTTGAGAATCTGTCATAATAAACGATATGCCATTTTAAACGGAGTCATTATATCCAAACTTTCCTATAGAGAATTTAATATGAAAACCAAACTTAACACTGCAATTACTTTATATTAAGCGGTTGGTCAATATAGGCGGAGTCATAATAANAATTTAAATTCATATTTGTAATTTTAAATAGTGTCTAAGTTAGTAACAACAGGACCAGTTTACATTTTACCTGGGTATTCACAGAACCCTTATAAACTGGAAAGAAATGTTGTATGGCGATTGTGCTCACATTTAATGATAGGGCTTTCCATATTCTGTGTTATATTCAGTTTCTAGTTATTCACCCCCGCTAAAATAATATTCACCAATTTACCTGTTTGTAGATATAATTGCATAGTACATTAAGATTCAGACATTCAGATTTCATCTCTCAAACAAGTAAGTTTTGTTCCAGTAACCACCCAAAAATAGTTTTCTTTGTTGGACGAATTTGATAGTTATAATTTAGACGTTGAAGTTTAGTTTTTAGTGATTAGAATAGAAGTTCAATTAAATGTTTTAAATAAAACAGTGGATTTTTATTCTTCATCGAAATCACGATCCAATTTAACTAGTTGCATAAAATTAATTTGGCGTGCAACGTACAACGTTTGTACACTTCATATTAAGCGGTTGATCAGTATAGGCGGAGTCATAATAAACGAATTCCACTGTACTCAGAATTGATATGGATTTTTTAGTAATTTCAAGAAAAACTAGAATATAGGTAGGTAATGGGAAAGTAAAGTAGCGAATCCAAGTCGACAAGACAACCATTAGTTAAAAATAATTTCGTTAATTAAGTGACGGTAGAAAGTAAATAAGAGCCTGTTTGAAAGCAATGCAATATCGCGGCACTTCCGCAACGTACTTAATTAGTGGATTCCAAAATCCGTAACATGAGCCAGAACAAACAAATAAAGTCAGGAAGCAGCTACAAAATTCCGAGAGATAGAA